AGACAATTTTTGTGAAGAAAAATTAGATGATGATACTGTAAGATGCAATTTCTTGGTGCTATTTCAGTTCACTAAAAATGTTTAATATAACCTGGAAATCTTTATTTTCTTATGAGCACGTGTTTCTTATATTTGATTTGAGCCGCTCTTGTCTAAACCTATTTAATAAAAATATTATATATATTTCTTTTGTTCTGCTTTGTTCCCATAAATCCTTGTACACATCTCATATTGAGAATTAAAACATGATCAAATAAAGGAGGGAAGGACAAAGGGATGTCCTCCTGGAGATTACTGGAAAAGCGAGAACTAAACATGTATAGACTAAACATGTCTTTGGGATGAGGTGTAATTATGTTTTCTTGCTAGAGATTTTCAGAAAAAGTTTCATCAGGGTGATCATGGTTGCATTATGCAGGAAGTAAAGCATGCTGAAAGAATATGCGGTCATCCAGTGCTGTTAGTTGCAGCTGCTGACAGTTCTGAAGGGCTGCCTCCGACTATTAGGCGTTGTTTCAGCCATGAAGTTAGCATGGGACCTTTGACTGAAGAACAAAGGATTAAAATGCTTTCCCAGTCTCTTCAACGTGTTTCTGACATACTTCCAGATGTACGTGAATTTGTGTTCTTTCCCTTTTGTTATATAATATTTCATGTATGACACCTCTATATGTTGGGTTTAAAGATAGTTATCCCGGGACAGGTAGTTGACATGTCCAAACATGATCCATGGCTGACCTAGCAGTCATTGGGGTTCTGGTCAGTGAGTTTATACCAGTAGCTAAACATTAAATTTGTTTAGGATTGTAGTATTATATGCCTACACATTGCTGATGAAAAAACAGGATTATATTCTGTGCCACATAGTTTGTGTAGCATTTTCAGGTTTTGGTCTGTAATTATTTTGTGATATATCTGGTGATATTATCTGGGTAGTATGTTTACTTCAAAATGCCCATAATTCCATTCTGATGTATAAATATCTCCTGAAGTCAATTTTTGGTTGAATTTTTTCGCTAAGGATTAAGATCCTTCATCGTGGAGCCATTTACCATTCTCTGACTTTTCAGTGTTGGGTTCTAAAGTTGGTTGTAGCTTGTGTTCCTTGGATCAAGATTATTGACTTTGATGGATCAGATTGTTGTTTGTTGCAGACATCTACAGAGGATCTTGTAAAAGAGTTAGTTGGACAGACATCTGGTTTCATGCCTAGGGATATGCGTGCTTTAATTGCTGATGCTGGTACAAATTTAATTCCAAGGCGAAATATTCTGCCTGGCAATGTTGAGTCTGGAAATTTTGATGGCAAGAGAACTCTTGGGTCCAATCATTGTAAAAATTATGTTTTGGGCATGTAAATATTTGGAAATAGTCGTAATGGAACTCACATGGACGGTTTTGAATGTAAATCTCATGATGTATGAGTTTGATATGAGTTTGGGTAGGTTTTCTCAAAACTCCACATTTTTTAACTATTTTTCTAAGCATTGGGGCACTATTTTCTCTTGATCAAAGATATTTTATGGGACATAAATGACTATAATTTAATGTCTAAAGAACTACGGATATGTGGGTATGAACCCGGTAAAGGGGTTGGTGTTGACGTAATATCAGGTGATTTTATTGAGTATGAATTGATTTATGTTAGACCTCGGATGGGTCATGTGATTAAATGTTGTTATATGAGTGTGGATAAATAGACCCGGTGTGGTCAATGTTATATGATGCATAGGTTGTGTTTTGGGTACAGCTATCTGTACAAAGGAGAATCTGCCCGAATTTTGTTAAATTATGAATCCCGATAAATGGGGCATAATGGCGTGATATCGAGTTACACGATATCTACGGGTATTCCGTAGGTTGATGGGTGATCAACGGACCCCTGGATTTTGGGGTGTCACAAAGGTGTATTCTCGGGTTTGGAACTCTAGGTTCTTGCACTCCTCCTCCCCTTGGGACATTCACATTGGCACCCAACTCCTCAAAGTTGTCATGGCATCCTCGGGTGGATCTTGGTCAATATTCATGTTGGGGCCTCAAGGTTGTCTAGCCAATCAGTTTTGTTCATCCCATCCCCACATACAAAACAATATCTACAAATGAAAAAACAAGTAAACAAAAGTATATACGAGGAGCAATGTACCTTGGCTCATAATAAAAATCATGGGACTTACCTCTTTTGTCCGAAAATCACCTTCTTAATTCAACGCTTTGCCTTCCCCGACAACGGCACCAAAAATGCTTGAAGTTATTCCATCATTCCTAATTTTGGACTATGATTCCAGTAATGTGTATATAGCTTATATGGTTAGGTGAGTGTCATTATCCCTCGAATATCATGCAAGAAATGGGAAAACAGGTGTGTGAATGAAAATGTGTGTGTATACAAAAGTGCTCCCAAAGCTCAAAGAGACTTTTGAGTGTCGTGTTTAACTTGCAATTGATATTCCAAGGTCGTCTCCTTAGGGAAGGAAGGTGAACTATGTGAAGGTAAGTTTTTGGAAAGTAAAAAGTATAAAATCTTTTGAATTAAATTTTTGGTGAGTGAAGATTGGTTATATAAATATAATGGAAACAAGTGTTGGCTAATCTGAAGAGATCATTCCAATGGGAATGCCAAATCAACTCAAGAAATTCTTCCAATGGTGCCTAGACTTTCGATTGATTCATAGGAAACAAGGAACTAAAATGGAGGTGAGGATTTAAGCATAGCCCATGACAAGTCTATGATGTATCAAGAACTCACAACCACATACACACTCAACCTAGTCAAACCAAACTTTTGTACACTACGAGGAGGAATGAAAAAGAGTTGATTTGGCATACCCAAGAGGAATTCTCCCTTGGATTAGCCAACTTATAGCTTTGCTACTAATATTTAATGCAAGGACATATATAAAATAAAGATACATTGTGGAGAAATGATGATTGGAACTTAAATGAAAACAAGAAAAGTTAAACTATGAAGCGGTGCATTGAATGCCCATTTTAAAAGTTTGAAATGAAGAAAATTCAATACAACAATGGAAGAATCTAAAAGGTGTAACTAAACTTGCAATGCACTTGAAATAAATGACATTAAAGGCAATAAATGAAGCTTGCAAGAATTTTATAGAAGATTATAAGTGAAAATGGATAAAGGAAATGCAAAAATCTAACTTATCTCTCTAAAAACTATGTCTTCCTCCTAGAGCTTCTCTCTTTATATCTCTACAATGCTGACTAATGTCCAGTGATGCTTGCAATTTCATCCATGGAGGTGCTATAGCTTGTGTGATAGGCTTCTCATCCATAGGAGGCTGAGTTGATGGCTAGTGCAGGCTAGGAAAAGCATAGCCTATAACTCCCCTGGCTTGACTCTTCTTTCTCTTGCTGAATAATGCATTGGCCTCCAAAGTCCAAATTGAAGTGAAGGGATGCTTTTATGTGTGTAAGAGATGTTAGGGGACAAGTGGGACAAGCATAGGTTGGACCCCCAAATGGCAGAGCTTGAGTTGCAGGTTGTCTAGGATTTCTGGACAAAATTTTCCGGAAGGTCGATGCAAACCTTTCAGAAGATTTGTGTAGGAACAAATAAAATAGTAGTCTAGTGAGAAAAACCTTATATAAGATTGATGTAAACCTTCCAGAAGGTTCATTCCAGTTAACAAAACCTTCCAGAAGGTTTTGGCAGTGAATAGGCAAACCAAGTGCAAACCTTCCAAAAGGTTTATGGCCAAACCTTCCAAAAGGTTTTCATCCAATTTGCCTTTTTCTTGGTTTATTCACATTCCAATCCTTCTTTTAAGCTATCCCCTCATCTTCATTGACTTTAACCACTATGATGGGAGCTTAACTCAAGAAATTTACATCTTTTCACCTACAATCATACAAAACTTCATTAAACGGTAGATTAACTGCATTTCTTTTCCAAATTCACAACAAAAGCAAGTATAAAAAAAGGTATAACCACATACAATATATGCAATCATTCATAACCATGAGCATATTATAAATGTAACCATCCATCAATGTTGGAGGTATATATATCATTAAAGCATAGTTATAGCATCGAAATTTCCATAGCTCAAACAATATCTTACATATGTTCACCCATCATCAAAGGGTAAAAATGGACTACTTACACCCCATTACTATAGACGAGCAAGAGGTGCGAGGCAGTTCCATTACAATACAAAATAAAACATAGACACTCCTTCCCCGAGGAATAGTTAAAATACAACCACTCTTAATACTTATTAGGGCACAAAAGTGGGAGAGGTTCAACCCTCCAAGTAGAAAGGAATAACATAAATGTAGAAGAAAGAAAAGCTTCGGCTAGAAAGTTGGCTAGAAAGCTGGCTGGAAGTGATTCGGTAGGGCTTCGCTTCACT